CTACCAACGCTGTTCGAGCTCAAGACAATTGGTCAGTATACAAAAGGAGAAGAAAGAAGACAAGAGAAAAAAGAAAAGAAAAGCGACTGGAGCGGACAATCCTCAGCTCAGAGGCCTGCTCCATCGCAGTCTTGATGGTGTACTGATAGTGAGGTGAGTGAATATTCAAGATGGTGGTTAGGGAGGCAATGGATTGTCTTGGATAGTGTTGGGCTTTTTTAATGTTGTTGGAACTGCACTCATCTAGGCAAGTGCAGAGTATTCCATCAAACTCCTGATTTGTGTCTTGTGTAAGGGCTACATATATTTTATTTGGAAATATAAACAGGAAAATGAAAGTTTTGATTATTACTTTTTTTACAACTCCAAGGAAAACTGGAACTGTGTAGGGTTATTTTGATGAACTGGATTTGATACTTTGTGAGATCCAGGCAACTGCCTAACAACACATGTAGATTGACTGTGGATGTCATTCTATCATAGAAGTGAGTTGGGACTCAGACCTTCAAAAAGCCTAGCAACAGGCAAGCAAGATCCCCCTGTCTCTCCTGCTCACTCTCTCTCTCTTCAGTGGGAAACAAGTAACACTCGAAGACTCTGCAGAAAAAATTAATTCAAGCCAAGAACTAGGGCCAACCAATTGTTGTGAAAACTAAAATTGATTTGTGAGAAAGTCACCTCATTTTTTCTATGTGGTCTGTACTCTGGTCCATAGACTTTGTGCCCTTTTGCCTATAATCCTCACCCACATTAATCCTGCAAAAACCCTTTATCTCATCTGTCCAATGTGTGAATTAATGTAAATTTGATTTAAAAGGGGTGCAGTTTAAGTTTGCATATTATTAATTAATAATCTGTTTGTGCTACATGTTTGTTTTTGTTTTTATTGCTCATTGATGAAATCTGGTCTGAGTTTATCTTATCTTAGGTAGTGGTCCCAGTCAGGTATTAATCATCTGAGAGATTAAATTGATCATATTATGTACTTGTTATGGCTCATTGAATAGTGGGTCTTAATTTCTACTGCACAATTCTCAGCAGCATTGTGATACTTGTAGATGGTGGACAGGCTCCAGGGAGATACCAGGTGATGTCATGATGTAGGCAAGATTCATCTTGTTACAAGTGTCGATCTGTGTTAAATAATGATGACTTGTACAAGTTCAGATATCCATGGCATTCTAAAGGATCTGGACAATTTGAATGGCTGAGATACTTTGTTAAAAATATGAATTATTTGGTGGCGTCTGAAGAGAACTGCTAAGGAATATTTGGAAGACAATAAAATGAACATAGGAATTTCTTGTTTCTAAATAGTTATTGCAATATTGTGGGGGTTTTAGAATATTATTGGAGTTCATCTTGAGTTTAATACTGGTGTTGACTTTATAAATATGCTATTACGAGATTTTGAAGAGCAGAAGCCAACACCCAGATATCTCAAACTGTAGGGACTGCATGTATGTATCACACCACAATACTGTTTGAAGCAACACTCTGTGTGTAGATGACAAAAAAAAAGAGACCAGCAAGTATTCTTAATGTTGGTGCCTGTTTTCTGCTCCTTTGGGTTACGGAATTGATTGCATCTGGGATTGACTATCTCTCCCAAGTAATGGTTTCAGTTTTTTATACATTAGGCCATGACTTCCCAAACCAAAATTTCAAGAGTCATTGCAAATTGGAATGAATCCTAGCAAAAATGAGGCCCTGCCCCATTTAATGCCCATCACTAATACCTAAGTTTTCTTTTTAATCTATTGTTTGTAATTTCAAGAACTAACAGTTTGGTATAATAAAGGATAGAATTCCTTTTAGTACTTAAGGTAAGGAGAAGTGTGCTCTTTTGTTGAATTATTTTTATTACTTAATGTGTTTCCACACACGTAAAATATTTTGGGCCTCAATTCCAATAATCAGCATGTTTTTAGTTTTGCTACCAACACAACTGTGTAATTATAGAGCTATACATTTTTGTGAAGATGAATAATCTGTCATATAATGAAAGAAAAGTCCTGCAAAGACAGCTTCTAAGAGTCACATGGAATTCCTGGGTTCATTTTATTGTGTGATGTTCATTCACTTTGGCCAGAAAGGCAGACAGGCTGAATTCAGCACCAATCACAAAGAGGAATATTTAGAACTTGACTAAACAGTGGGCAACATAAACCCTGAAATTCTGAAAGAGTCATACCAGACCCCAAACGTTAAGTCCGTTTCTCTTTTTACAGATGTTGCCAGACCTGCTAAGTTTCTCCAGCATTTCTGTGTTTGTTTCAGATTTCCAGTATCTGCAGTAATTTACTTTTATTGGACAACTTAATGTGTCCTTTTAAAGTTGTGAGAATTCAAATATTCTGAGGAAACAAGTGAATGGAAGGACCTCCACTTGAAATTACAGCTGGCTTTGCTTTGCAGAAGTTACTTTAAATTTTGGTTTGTATAAAACCGGCTGATACACCTTTTCAAAATAAAACACCAATAACAGCTCTTAGAGATAGCATCAGAGAGATGGTTCACAAAAGGTGAAGGAAAAAAGAGAAAGTCATCACAAGAGTCTACAATATTAACTGGATTGAGAAAATAAGAATATTAAGATAATTGTGAAAATTGAGACTATTTTTCTTTTGTTACAGAAGCACGGGTTATGTGGCAATATAATGTTTTAAATTATAGAAGAATAAAACAAGTTACATAGAAGCAGACCATTTCCATTAGGTTAGGGGCCATAAATGTGAGACTAAATTAAAAGAATGAGAGATATGGGAAACTTCGTCAGAATTGTGAGTTCAGCATTGGAATTTACTTCCAGGGTAGGAATCAAGACAGAAACTATGGCAATATTCAAGATGTGATTGGATCAGTAAATGAAATAAAGCAGTTGGAGAGATTTGAGACCTTGGTGGGTAAATGTAATGGGCACTATTTGTTTGTATGTTGGACGAACACAGATAAGGACAGATTGGGTTGGATGGCCTGTGTAAATATTGCAGCTTCTAAGAAAGAATTCAAGGATGATTTGGTTGAAATCATAACTATTCATTCCACACAATCATACTGCTAATAGTTGGGGCTTTAACAAACAGTTTAATTTGTGTTCACAGCTGGATAGGAAACTGCATCAGCAAACTTTATCAGCCAGATATTGACTTTATTTTGTCCATTAGGTGCACATCCATTTCCTACTTAAGAGCCTCAATGGTGACAGAACAGTAAGGCCATCCATAGACCTTCCTACCACAGGCTTAATTGAGGCAGAGATGAGAAGGTCCCTACCTCCAACTCCAGAATACAAGATACTACCCATTAATTTTAAGGGGCATCTTAGGAAGTTGGTGAGGTGGAGAAACAACGCAGGGGTTTGTAGGGTTAGATTCCAGAGTTTCAGGCATAGGCTGGTGAACCAATTAGAATGAGGAAATACTGAAGCGGCCAGAATTAGATGAGCATGCATAGGCCAGGGGATTGCAGGGCTGGAAGAGTTTTTGGGAAGATTTGTAGCTCAGGTTGTGGATGAGGTTGTAGACTTGCTTGCCGAGCTGGTGTGTTTGATTGCAGACATTTCGTCACCCTGCTAGGTAACATTGTCAATGCGCCTCCAGTGAAACGGTGGTGTTCTATCCCGTTTGTTATTTATGTGCCTTGGTTTGGTGTGGTTGGCATCACTTTCAGTTCCGTTTTTCAGTGGTTTGTATATCGGGTCCAGTTCAATGTGATTATTGATGGAGTTCCGGTTGGAATGCCAGGCCTCCAGGAATTCCCTGGCATGTATCTGTTTGACTTGTGCTATTATGGATGTGTTGTCCCAGTCAAATTTGTGTCCTTCTTTGTCCATGTGTATTGAGACCAGTGAGAATTGGTCATGTCTCTTGGTGACTAGTTGGTGTTCGTGTACCCTTATTGTCAGTTTTCTTCCAGTTTCTCACAGTAATGTTTCTCACAGTCCTTGCATGGTATTTTGTATACTACGTTAGTTTTATTGGTTGTGGGTATGGGATCCTTTACATTCGTCAGTAGCTGTCACAGGGTTGTTGTTGGTTTGTGGGCTACCCTAATACCTAGGGGTCTGAGTAGTCTTGAATAAATGAGTGGTGTCTCTTTGGGTTGAGGCACTTATTTTTATTTACAACCTTTTGATTGAATCAAGTGTTATAAACGTGGATTCTTTTTATTCATTGAATAAATAAATAATTGTAACTAAGCTAATGATTATTGGGAACTAAAGTCTGTCTCCAGTCTCCATGCAACAGTTATGTCTAGTCTTGGCTGAGATTGTATAAAGAGAACATTGTTGCTTTGACTAGAGTTCTAATGCAGGCTAATAGTTGAAAATACTATTGGGCCAGGAGCTGGCAGGTGGGACGAATTAAGATTGGGATTATGTTCGGCATGGACTGGTCGAGCCGAAAGGTCTGTTTCTGTGCTGTATGACTCCATGACAATATTTTAAAAAAACCCCAAGGAACTGTGAATGCTGAAAATCAGAAATAAAAACAGAAATTGTTGAAAAACTCAGCAGGTCTAGCAGCATCTGCAGAGAGAAAGTAAGAGTTAATGTTTCGGGTCCAGTGACCCTTCTTCAGACTCTTCTCTCCACAGACATTGCCAGACCTACTGAGTTTTTCCAGCAATAAATAAATACCCCAAAAAGTTAAGTTTTTTTCTAACTAAAAATCAATAACTCAAATTTAAGTAATATTGTTCGATTTTGATCATAATACGTTTCCATGCAGTGCCTGTACTAGCAGAAACTTCCAATGACACACATTACGTGTGAAAATACTGTTCATGGGTTCTCCTTCACTCACACAAAACTATTAAGTCGAAGCTAAATAGGAAAGGGAATTTTAAGAGGAAAATAACCTAACCTATTCAATGGGATCCTTTTTAACGATCAACCACTGTAGTTAGCGTAAGTAGTCGAAGACCCTGACAAACTACTACTGCACCTTCCTTCGCCGTCATTCAACGTCAGAGGGCGGGGGCCAGAATATCTGCACATGCGCGCTCGACACCGGCTCCGGGCGGTCACATGACGGCGATGTTTGTGTTTTTGCCTCCTCCTCCCGTCAGAAGATGGCGGCGGTGCCGGAAAGTGGAGATAAACGGGAAAGTGACGGACGGGGCTTTGATCGCGGTGTCCATTTGGCAGAAACTCTGGGCTTTTATGAAGCGAAGGAGGAGCCCAACAAGGACGCGGGGCAAAACCGGAACCTATCAGGTGAGTATAGTCGAGCTAAGCTGATCCTGACCCCGGCGGAATGGTTCTGGGTAGCGGCTTATTGTTTGGGCTGTTCGGAATCACGGGCCTTGCGAGTGGGGCAGCGCTGTTAGCAGCTGGACGGAGCGGGTTGTACCACCGAAGGCTGGCCGGGCCGAGTGACTGACACCGTCTCGCTCCTGGCTCTGGGGAAAACCGTTGATGTTCCGAGCCGCGGGTGTTTGCGCTCGCGCTTAGTCCTTGCGCAGATTGTCCACCACCCGCCCCGTGACAGCTGTCAATGTCTGTCCGTCCTCGGGGTCATCACTCAGGCCCAGGGCAGGGACAGGGGGCATCCTCTTTGTCAATAGTAGAACGCAACTTCTACAGGCAGCCTGACTGACTGACAGCAGCACGTCTCCTGTGTGAGGGCCACTTGTTGCTGCACTCGGTATTCCGAAAGGTGTTTCAGGCAAACACTGGTCAACTTCAGCCCTCAGCACAGGCTATTATTTAAAGAGTCATCGTGTGCTCATTTCTGCTTGGGGTCTGCCTAGATGTGTCTGTGCACTCTGGCACAGTGAAAGATGCTTGTTTTCCACAGTTTGATCATAAGCTACGGTTGTGCTGTCGCTCTGCATAGAAATCTTAAATGATTATACAGAAAAGTTGATGTATCCTTTTACATCTAATTAAAAAGGAAGTAAAAAGTTGGCACTGTTGAGGACTCTTCAAAAGAAAGCCATCCCCAGAATGCAAATGCATTGTACAAAGCTCTTGATGTTAGTCATAGAGTCACACAGCATGGAATCAGACTGTTCGGTCCAACTAGTCTACGCCGACTAAATTAGTCCCAAATGCCTGTGTTTGGTGCATATCCCTCCGACCTCCCGTTTCCTATTCATGTACGTGTTCAAATGTCTTAAATGTTGTAACTGTACCTACATGCATCACTTCTTCTGGTAGTTCATTCCACACACCAACTGCTCTGTGTGTTTAAAAAAAAATTGCCCTTCATGTCTTCCTTAAATCTTTCTTCTTTCACCTTAAAAATATGCCCCCTAGTTTTGAACTCGCCTTAGGGAAAATACTTTTGCTGTTCACTTTATCTATGCCCCTCATGATTTTATAAATCTCCAAAAGGTCACCTCTCTACCTCCTAGCTCCAGTGAAAAAAGATGACGTTTTGGGTCAACCTGCGTTCCTCCAGCACCACAGATTTGAAACGTCAACTTTCCATGTTCCTCGGATGCTGCCTGGCCTGCCGTGTTCCTCCAGCTCCACAATTTGTTACCTCTGACTCCAGCATCTGCGGTTCTTGCTGTCTCGGCCTATTTTTATAAGTCAAATCCTCCATTCCTGGCAACATCCTAGTGACTGTTTTCTGAACCCTCTTCAGTTGAATAATATCCTTCCTTTTTTTTCCTCCTTTCTTCATTCACGGAATGAGGGCATCGCTGGCTAGGCATTATTGCCCATCCCTAATTGTGCAGCAGGCAGTTCAGAGTCAACCACATTGCTGTGGGTCTGGAGTCACATGTAGGCCAGACCAGGTAAGGATGGCAGTTTCCTTCCCGAAAGGACGTTGCGGGATTCGAACCCACGTCCCCAGAACATTATCTGGGTCTCTGGATTAATAGTCCAGCGATAATACCACTAGGCCATCGCCTCCCCTTAAGGTTGACCGGAAATGTCAACTTTCCTGTTCCTCTGATGCTGCCTAGCCTGCTGTGTTCCTCCTGCTCCACACTTTGTTATCTTTGAATAGGCTGGGACTTTTTTCACTGGAGCGTAGGAAGTAGAGAGGTGACCAGAACTACACACGGTAGTCCAGAAGGAGCCTTGCCAATGTCCTGTACAACCTCAACATGATATCCCAACTCCTTTACTCATTAGGTCAGAGCAGCGAAGGCAAGTGTGCTAAACACTTTCTTAACCACTCTGTCTACCTGTGACGTAAGTTTCAAAGAATTATGTACCTGAACCCCAAGGTGTTTCTGTTCTACAATACCCTCCAGAGCCATACCATTAATTGTACTAGTCCTGCCCTTGTTTGTTTTACCAAAACACAATACCTCTCAATTATCCAAATTAAACTCCATATTGCCACTCCGCAGCCCATTGACCCAGTTGATTAAGATCTCTTTGTAATCTTAGATAACCTTCTTCACTGTCCACTGTACTGCCAGTTTTGGACTCATCTGTAAACTTACTAACCATGTCTCCTATATTCTCATCCAAATCATTCATAAAAAATAACAAACAATAATGGGCCGAGTACCAATCTCTGTGGAACACAGCTGATCACAGGCCTCCAGTCTGAGAAACAACCCTCCAAGCTTTGTCTCTGATTGTAAAGCCAATTTTGTATCCACTTGGCAAGCTCACCCTGAATCCCACTTGATCTAATTTTAATTAGTCTACCATGTGGAACCTTATCAAAGGCTTTACTGAAGTCCAAGTAAACAATGACTACCATTCTACCCTCAATCTTTTTGGTTACTTCCTGAAAAAGCTCAATCAAGTTTGAGAGACACAGTTTCCCTCCCACAAAACCATGTTGACTATCCCTAATCATTTCTTGCCTCCAAATGCATGCAAATCCTATTTTTCAGAATCATCTCCAACAACTTACCCACCACTGAGGTCAGACTCATGGGTCTGCAGTGCCCAGGCCTCCTCTTACATTCCTTCTTAAGTAATGGCACAATGTGACCCTCCCTCCAGCACCTCACTCGTAGCTATAGATGATACAAATAGCTCTGTTAGGGGCCTTGCAGTTGCCTCCCTAACTTCCCACGACATTCTGGGATACACTTGATCAGGTCCTGGAGGTTTATTCACCTTTGTTTTCTAAGACCTCCAGCGCTTCCTCTTCTGCAATGTGAACTGTTTTCAAAACGTCACTAGTTATTTCCCTGAATTTTCCAGCCTCCATTTCTTTCTCCTCAGTAAAAACTGATCCTAAATATTCATTTTAATACCTCTTTCCATTTCCATGTCAACACAAAGACAACCTTATTGATCTTTAAGGTGCCCTACTCTCTAGCTAGTTGCTCTTTTGCTCTTAATTTATTTCTGGAATTTCTTTGGATTATCCTTTACCTTACCTGCCAAGGCTATCTCATATCTCCTCTTTGCCTTCCCGATTTCCATCTTAAGAATGCCCCTACACTCTTTATACACTTCAAGTGATTCATTTTTTCTATATCTGATATGATTTTCTTTTTATTCTTGACTAGAATCTCAATATCTTCATTCATCCGTTGTTCTCTAATCTTACCAGCTTTACCTTTTCACTCTAATCTTACCAGCTTTACCTTTTCACTCTAATAGGAACATAATACCTCTGAATTCACATTATGTCATTACAGCCCTCCACAATTACTTCAGAAAATCCCGGATGTGTACTCACTTCTTCAGCTATTGGTCTGAGTCCCCTCATGACTGCTGCTCTTGGTTGCTGCCCAGTGAGCACCTTCTTTCCTGGAGACAACCATGGTCTGAGTCCCTCGTGACTGCTACCTCCTCAGTCCCATGCCACTTCTGAAGCCTGGGTAACCTCTTCTTTGGATTTAAAAAAGGCATTTTGCACACAGTTCATGGGGCAGATCTCACTCTTGTCAACAGTTGTTACGTTGGCACTTCCTTTGGATCTAGGAATTACATACCAAGTAGACACAAATCTGAACGAGAACACTTGATTGACGATGCTATCACTTCTACGGTTAGTTCTAGATTGGACCGTCTGGGTCACCTGACCTGTTCTTTTAAAAGGGACACATCTCTCACTGGCGACATAACAGCTGGATCACGTGACCTCTCTCTCTGTGATCCATAAATTCTCTGTCTCCAAAATAAAGTAGTTTGTGCCCTCAAGTGTGACATATTAGCTGATGTGGGTTAGTGATGTATTTTGCTTTCAAAACTGTTCTTTTCAGAAAGTCCTATCTGGCTTATAAAATAATAACTTCAGCCAAAACATAATTAAAATTTGGTTAACATATCTTTGTAATAGTAAGACTCAATATACAAAATGTTCCCTCATTTGAGCGAATGATCTGCTAAGGGCTTGCTATATTCTCTGTTTTGTCTCTGATTTATACACCTGTACTTTTTAATTTTGATGTTATTTGACAAGTTTTAGTTACTCTTCATGGAAATGAACATATTGACAGTAGTTTGATAAATTGTGACAAATTATAATCACAGATTTAATACATTTCACATGAAGAACTTCTGTTAGTTGAGGTTCATTGCGCTGATTATTGACATTGCATTGTCAGTTGTTTAAGTGAACCTATATAGTACAGTAAAATTTATCTGAGGAATGGGATGATTAACTCTTCTGTGTATTATCTGGTTTTTTTTTGGTGTATATATCTTGTTTTTGATATTTATTAAACTGATTTTTTACCCAGAGATTAATATTTTTGCCCACAGCAATAAGCTTGATTTACAAATTGATTCAGTCAGCAAGCACTTTAGGTAATTATCTCTGTTGTTTTGTGAAAAGAAAACGATTTCTTGTCAGAAATGTTGTCTGAGTAGCATCTTAGGCGGTGCCTGTGCTCTTTTTTTCCTCCTTTGTTTCCCATTGAAATGCATAACTAATGTGTTTTTCAAAATCAATCAATAGTTTGTTTAAATGTGTCAGGTATAGCTAGCTTTGAATTTTCTATTTCAGATTTAAATATTGGTTGAAATGATTTTACTTTTTAAAGTTTGAATCTTTTATGTAACACTCCATTGTTTAAACTGCCTTTATGAACGATTACTTTCAAATTGCATTTGCTGAGTTTTCCATGAGCAAGGTAACTTAAGTCAGAGTCATGCAGCAGGAAACAGACCCTTCAGCCCAACCCATCCATGCCAACCAGGTTTCATAAACTGAAATAGTCCCATTTGCCTGCATTTGGCCCAAATCTCTCTAAAGCTTTCCTTTCCATGTACCTGCTCAAATATCTTTTAAATGTTGTAATTGTAGTTGCCTCTACCATCTCATTTCATATACATACTATCCTCTGTGTGAAAAGGTTGCCTTTCAGGTCCTTGTTAAATCTTGCCCCTCTCACCTTAAACCTGTGCTCTCTAGTTTTGGACTACCCTAGCCTGAAGAAAAGACTTGTGTCCCTCATGATTTTATAAACCACTAAAAGGTTACCCATCAGCCTCCTATGCTGCAGGGGTAAAAAGTCCCAGTCTATTCAACCTCTCCTTATAACTCATACCTGCCAGTCTCGGTAACATCCTTAAATCTTTTTTGCACCCTTTCCAGTTTAATAACATCCTCTGCACGGCACCCAGAATTGCATGCAGTACTCCAAATATCACCTTACCAACGTATTTTACAGCTGTAACATGACATCTCAACTCGTGTACTTGGTGCTCTGATGAAGCCAAGCATGCCAAACACCACCACTTTCACCCTGTCTATCTGCTACTCCACTTTCAAGGAACTATGTACCTGCACACCCTAGGTCATTGAGTCCTAGAGATATACAGCATGGAAACAGACCCTTTGGTCCAACTCATCCATGCTGACCAAATATCCTATGTAAATCCAGTTCAATTTGCCAGCATTTGGCCCATATCCCCCTAAACCCTTCCTATTCACATATCCGTCCAGATGCCTTTTAAATCTTGTGGAGATGCCGGTGTTGGACAGGGGTGGACAAAATCAGAAGTCACATGACACCAGTTTATAGTCCAACAGGTTTATTTGAAGACACGAGCTTTCGCAGTGCAGCTCCTTCGTCAGGTGAAGTGTCTTCACCTTATGAAGGGGCTGCACTCCGAAAGCTTGTGATTTCAAATAAACCTATTGGATTATAATCTGGTGTTGACTTCTGACTATTTAAATGTAATTGTACCAGCCTCCACCACTTCATCTGGCAGCTCAATCCATACGTACACCACCATCTGCATGAAAAGGTGCCCCTTAGCTCCCTTTTATAGCTTTCCCTGCTCACCTTAAACCTATGCCATTTAGTTTGGGACTCCCCTACCCCAGGGAAAAGACCTTGCCTATTTACCCTATCCATGTCCCTTGTGATTGTAGAAACCTCTATAAGTTCACCCCTTAGCCTCCAACGCTCCAGGGGAAATAGCTCCAGTCTATTCAGGCTCTCCCTTTAGCTCAAACCCTCTAACCCTGGCAACATCCTCATGAATCTTTTCTGAATCCTTTCTAGTTTCACAACATCCTTTCTTTAGGAGGGAGACCAGAATTGCACTCAGTACTCCAAAAGTAACCTAACCAATGTCCTGTGCAGCTGCAGCATGACCTCCCAATTCCTATACTCTATTGCTCAGTCCATTAAGGCAAGCATACCAAATGCCTCCTTCACTATCCTAACTACCTACAACTCCATTTTCATGGAACTGTGAACCTGCACTCTAAGTTCTCTTTGTTGAGCAACACTGTCCAGGACCTTACCATTAAGTGTCTAAATTCTGCCCTGATTTGCCTTTCCAAAATGCAGCACCTCACATTTATCTAATTTAAATTCCTTGGCCCATTGGCCCATCTGATCGAGGTCCCGTTGTCCTCTGAGGTAACCTCCTTCACTGTCCACTGCACCTCCAATTTTAGTGTCATCTGCAAACTTACTAACCATATCTCCCATGTTCATTATTCAAATCATCCAGATCCGTTCCCAGGGATTTATCTACCTTTATGCCCTTTAAAACATCCAGCACCACCTCTTCTGTAATGTGGACTGTTTTCAAGACATCATTATTCATTTCCCCCAAGTTCCATAGATTCTGTTTCTTTCTCCACAGTAAAAACTGATGTGAAATATTCATCTAGGAGCTCATGCATCTCCACCGCACCTAGATTAATAATTGCTTAATAAATGAGATAAACGACTAGCATTCCATGCTCAATTCATAGTTTGCCGCTATGTCACGACAATTATTTTCAACTTTCTTCATCTGAATTTCATACCCGAGATTCCCCTCCCTAAAATGGTTTGGAGAAATACTGACTTAATTTGGCCTCGGCCACCTTTAGAGGTCAAGCCAAGCTCATGAAACCAATGTGAGATAAACAAAACAATCTGAGCAAAACTAACATTTTATCAAAAGGCACTGAATCTCTCAGGCATAAAGAAACTTTTGTCCCGTATTTTGAATTACAACTTTTTGGAAGTTTAATAATTCAGATTTAAGTCACCCTTGAGATTACCTATCTTAAAAAACAGTGACGAGGGGAATACACAAGTGAACTGTATTTCAGGAAAATGGCTTTTGGGCAGAGGATAAGAAAAGAAAATGGATTTGAAAATGGATACTGTATTTTTCAGTATCATGTTTTTAAATATATTGTTCTGGGTTAGTAGGTAATTAGCTTTTTCATTTTGAACTAATTGACTACAAATTTAAGCATATCCTGATGTAATCGCATGTTTAGAAGTCTGAAGTCTTTGCAACTGAGGATGTTTAAAACAGGGAAGCCAATTCACTCACATGGTCATAACATTTCAAGAAACATCAAAGTAACTAACCGGTAATGCATATTTTTAATATCTTGTTTGTATAGATTTGTCCCTGCTGAGATTTATTAGTGCCGAGTTGACAAGAGGGTATCTTTTGGAACACAATGAAGCCAAGTACAAAGAGAGGAGGGAGAAAGTGTATACATGTTTGCGAATTCCTCGGGAACTGGAAAAGGTAAGATTCTTTTACATTTGTAGGTTGTCGACTAAAAATGAGCACTGCATTTTTACTATTACTTATCTCACTGACATCATTGGTTTTAATATTTTTGCTATGAATTTTTACGTTATTCCTAATCTCACTTTTGCTCTCTGTAAAATACATAAGTGATCAGTGCATTTTATTTTTTGTTTGGCTTTTTGCGAATATTCCAATGTAATTGGTTATTACTTAACCTTCATGATATATTCATATTGTGTCATAAATTCCTCAGTACTTGATATCTATCATATTATTTCAACACCACTAGATCTTTGTGCACAGCTTTGTTGAGGTCAGTAGCTAGTGCTGACCATTCATTAACTGCAAACTCACACCAATATATTGAAATGAATGCTTGGGTTATACTCTTTTGGAAATTGTTCAGTTAGTGACTGTGAAAGAAATTCCAACATTTAGTAAATGCCCATATTTAGTTGCTGGTAATTGTTATCCCCCAGCAATGAATTGCAACTGCCCCGATGATGACAACGATGTTTACCCCCCACCCCCGCCTCCACTAGAGTTCTTTGATGTCTCATAATCTTATTATTTATCATGCATTTTCCCTGCAGTGTTTTCAAAACGATTCCTAAAATAAATTAATTCCATCAATTATTTTCCATAAATTGTTTATTTTGTGGAAAATTAGAAATTAAACAAACTTCAAAAACAATGGATTTCAGTGACATAGTTTAAATTCACGTTTGACTGGCCTTTACTTTCAAACAAAATGTTAAAAGCATCAAACTTTTTCAAAAGCATACACTAAACTTGAAAAGCCCAAAGCTTTTTGAAAGCAGATTGCACATCAGCAACTCAAGTATATCTATTTTCCTAGGATGCATCAATGTCAGCCTCTTTGGAATCAATTTCTATAGCATTCAGCATTTGTTGCTGAAGCTTGACAACATCTAGGACAAAGCAGTCCACTTGATTGGCACCACATCTATAAGCATACACTCAGTTCACTATTGATGCTCAGTAGCAGCAATGTGAACTATCTACAAGATGCACTGCAAAAACTTACCAAAGATCCTTTCTCAGACAGAAATCGGGTTTGATTGAATTCAAATAGCCATGCTAAATTGAGGTTTCCCCCAAGTGTGAGTCATGCGGCAGGGGGGCTCAGTGGTCAGCTCTGCTGCCTCACAGCACCAGGGACCCAGGTTCGATGTCGCTCAAGGGTGAAAATCTGTGTGGAGTTTGCACATACTCCCCATGTCTGTGTGTGTTTCCTGAGTGTTTCAATTTCCTCCCACAGTCCAAAGATGTGCAGGCTAGGTGGGTTGGTGGGATGTTGTTTGGAGGGTTGGTGTGGGCTCAATGGGCCAGATGGCCTGCTTCCACACTGTGGGGACTTTATGATCTTCTATGATGATGATATTGTTGATAGAGGAGTAGTAAGTGGAACAGATTGTGAGGGTACCCACAGCAAGAGCGCTACAGATGGAAAATGCTAAAATGCGAAAATGAGTCCACTACGCTGAGATCAAACCGAACTAGGTACAAACCATACACAGCTGGAAGATGGTGGCAGGGATGTAAGAAAAATGGAGGTGAGAGATCATATCCTAAAGCTGTGGAATTCAATATTAAGTCCTCGAGATTGTAAAGCACCTAAGTGGAAAATAAGGTGGTTTTCCTCCAGCTTGCATTGAGCTTTGTTGTAACATTATTGAGATCCAGAAAGAAATGTTTTTAGCATGGGACTAAGGTGATTTATTGAAATGGCAAGCAACTGGAAAGTCAGAGTCATACAGAGCTGAAGTATTCTCTTAAACTGGTAAGGCAATCTGCGTTTTGTCTTGCCAATGTAAAGGATGCTGTCTTGTGAGCAATGAATACAGGATACTAGGTTTAAGTATGAGTAAAATGTTGCTTCATGTAGAACGTGTGCTGGAGCCTTAGATCGTGAGGAGGGAGGAGGTGATGGAGCAAGTGTTAAATCTTTTGCAATTGCTGGCAAGATGCCATGGGCGAACGAGGAAGTGTTAGGAGGAGACTAGGATGCCACGGAGGGAACAGTAACTGAAGAATGCTGGCAATGAGGGAAGGAGAAGATGTAGGAGCAAATTACTGCAGATACTGGAATCTGTACTGAAAACCAATAATGCTAGAAATCAAGATAACAAGGTGTAGAGCTGGATGAGCACAGCAGGCCAAGCAGCATCATAGGAGCGGGAAGGCTGACGTTTCGGGCCTAGACCCTTCATCAGAAAATTTTCTGAAGAAGGCTCTAGGTCCGAAAAGTCAGCCTTCCCGCTCCTATGATGCTGCTTGGCCTGCTGTGTTCATCCAGCTCTACACCTTGTTATCTCAGATTCTCTAGCATCTGCAGTTCCTACTATCTCTGATACAATGCTAGAAATCAGTGGGTCAGGCAGCATCCATAGAGAAAGAGCAAGCTAACATTTTGAGTCAGAGCACATCAGATGATGTGTTTGGCGGTGGTGGAAATGGTGGAAGACGATCCTTTGTGCCCTAACTTTACACCCCAAATTTTTCTCATTGTTCTGGGAGGGAGGGGAAGGTGAAATGGCAGAAGTGAGAGAGATGGATTGGACACGATGGAGGGATCTCTTTAAAAGACAAAAAATCCTTGGAGACTTAACAGGATGAATACTGAACATGTGTTTTCCCCTGGAGAGAAATCTAGAACGTGGAGAGATATTGGGTGACAGGTGGGGGAGCAGTCTAAAAAATAGGTGTCTCCCGTTTAATACAGATATGTGCATTTTTTCCCCTTCACAGTCAATAGTTTCTGTAATCCTCTTCCCTAAAGACCAATAGAGTCTTGGCCATTGAATGTATTGGTGGCTGAATTATACACACTTTTGATCTACAAGGAGGCCAAAGGTTTTTGAGGGCAGAAGAGAAATCCAGTCAGATCAGCCATGATCTTATTAAATGACAGAGTTAATGCGAAGAGCTGAATAGCCTATCCCTGTTCCTAATTCTTCTGTTCTTGAGTCAGTTCGGTCCATTGAGTCTGCATCGACTCTTTAAAGGCACAGTGCAGTTATTTTGGGACCTCCATTTCTTCAAATATTCTTTTTTGAAGACTACTGTTAAATCTATGTTCACCCTCTATCAGGCAAAACATTCCAAGGCCTAACAAATTGTTGTACAGAAAGTTTACGATGCATGTTATCTCTGCTTGTTATATCTGTGTAATAGCCAGAGAATCACTTGCAGTGAATTCTGTTCATGTTCCTGCAGACTTGCTTCTACTGTGCTCCAGGACCCTATCCTTGACCCTCTTCTGTATGTAATGCCTGTGACATAATTCAAAATGACGGCAGTCTCCACTTCTACACTCATGACATCCTGCTCTGTCTTACCAATGTCTATCAATCAGGAATACTGTGGTGAGTAACTCACCTTCTGACTCCTCAAAGCCTGTCCACCAAAAGTCAGGAGTGTGATGGAATACTCCCCACTTACTCGCCACCAATGGATGAGTGCAGCTCCAACAACACTGTAGAAGCTTGGCACTATCTAGGACACAGCAGCCCGCTTGATTGGAACCACATCTACAGGCACACTGTCCCTCCACCATTGACGCTCAGTAGTGGCAGAATGTACTGACTTCAAGATGCACTGCAAAAATTCATCAAAGCTCCTGAAACAGCACCTTCCAAATCCACGACCACTTCCATCTAGAAGGATAAGGGCAGCAAATACATTGGAATACCATCACCACCTGCAAGACAACCCCCCCCCACAAAATAAAAGTTACTCAATATATTGTTGTTCCTTCACTATCGCTAGGTCAAAATCATGGAGTTGCCTTTCTAGGAGCATTGGGGGCCTACCTACAGTATGTGAACTGCAACAGTTCAAGAAGGCAGCTCATCACCACCACCTCAAGGGCAACTGGAGACAGGCAGTCGCTGGCCACCCAGCAACGTCCATGTCCCATGACTGAATT